ACCCACCCTCTCCAGGCTCCTGCCCTTAGGGAAACATCCAATCTGCTCAGGGATGAACTCTGTTATCCTTGTTCATTTGATTTCTATCCTCCTCAACAATGAAAATTTTATGGTATTTGCCTTATTCGTTCTGACACATTTCACTTAGCGTAACTCCCTCTGGGCCACCCTGGTGACCCAAATGCAACATTCTTTGTAAATCCTATCAACAGGGATGACCAACTTGGCAGGTGGAGGCAGGCTCTATGGCCCGCCCTCAGGAGTATTTTCTATCTTTATTCTTTTGACTATGTGTGGGACTTGTTCTGGATCTTTGAGTGAGATAATCTCTTGCCTCCTTTTTTTGAAACCCCCTTGGGTCCTTGGAATTACTCCTATTGCCATAAAGTGTTCCTGTTCATTCTGGCAAAACCTGACAATTACATTTAAAGTATTTTTGAATAACTGGAAGGTCCAAAATCTTTCCAAATTGAAAAGTAACATTCAGTCAGGTCTAGTAAAATTACTCTTCTGACTTTCTGCCATAATCTATGCCCTCAGAGAAGAAGAAATACTTTTCACTTTGCAAAATCAGAAATGCATCGGAACATGGTTCGGAACATCCCTTTATCATCTCCTACATCTCAAATATTCTCTCATCTCAACCATCTTGCTTTGAAATCCAGCCTCAGGGAGGTGTTTTTAGGAGAAATGAAAGATGCCAAAACTCTTCTTTAGTTTTCCTCATGAGCAGCTGCTGTGGGATAGTGGCCAGGAGGGTGTCCCTTCTTCCTGGTGACCTAGACACAGGTCCCATGTTGGGGCACAAATGCTCCGGGGGGCTCTCCCTTACTTGCCCAGGACGGGTCTGGGGCTTTGTGGGGTTACCTGTCACAGGACCTGGGTGCTCTTAGGTGACCCCTGAGATCTTGCACTTCCCCAGCCCCTTGTAAACTAACGAGAAACACAGATCTCAGGGCGGACAGGTATGCTCATATGTGGACTCCCTGAGCACGTCACGCACGTCCATGCCATATTCACCCCGTGGGGTGCTGCCAACACTGAGGACTACCTTTGCATTTATCACTTAATAATATTAATTCCTAAAACCTAAATGTTTCAGATATTGTCCAAAATTAACTCCAAGATTTTTTAGTCAACTAATCTGTGATAATTTTTGACATGTAAAAGTATGTAATTTTGTTTGTTTGTTTAATTGACATAGGCAATATGGATATAACACAGACATCTCACCTTATCTTACTGAGTTTTCTAATAAAATTAGTCCATGGCATTTATGGTTTAACATTTGTTAACATGAAAACACCTCACAGTAATGACAGACTCGGTCTCAGGAAGCTTTTGTGGGTAACAAGAGAGACAACAGGCCCCAAGTGGAGCAATGGTGCTGATCCTTGTCACCACTTCAAAGCTTAACACTTAGTGCAGTTTCCATCCTCCCAGCATCGATATCTTAACTCCCCAGTCTGGGGTTTCCTGCTCAGGTGCACCACCCTGATAAACCCCAAAAAAGCATAATTACTGTGGAACAAATGCTTAAAAGATCTAATGGGGTCAGAACAGCTAGGTGAAGTGAACAGCTTAGGTTGTTAGTCTCTCAAACATTTTAGATAACTCACAACATTAGAGTTTGATGGTTAAATTAATTAGTGGAAATCCATTGATTATTTACAGGTTTTCTAAATCATATAAACTAAAGAACCAGTAATTAGTCTGAGCTTCTAATTACAGAGAAGGCAAAGATATTTGGCCTAATAATAATCATGTCTTGGGCCACCATGAAAACCTAAACTATGAGGAAGCAGACGTATCTCTCTAGAATTTACAAAGTGCATCACAAATTGGCAAAATCAAGAATGCTGGTTTGGCATAGTTCACACTTGCTGACTTCTTAATTCTTCCTATGAGTTAAGGTGTCTAAAAATTAAGAATTTCAAATAATACACAATTAAAATGACTAAAAGTAGTAAAGAATTCAACTTACTGTCCAAGAAGAAAGGATAATATTGTTTCAAAAAATAGTACAAGTGCTTAAGTAGTGTTTATGTTAAAATGAGAAAAACGCTTTACCTGGCGTAATTGAACTGGACAAGTGGAACTGTGATTTTAAGGGTTTTCAAAATAATCTGAATTTGTGACTCACTGTATATATTATGTCTGTGATATGCAAAACGATCAAATCATGGAAAGAATTAAGAAATTAGCAGTTATGGGCCTCTCCAGTGGCACAGCAGGTTGAGTGCAGTGCTGTGAAGCTGTCCGCAGCCTCTGCAGTATGGGTTCGATTCCCGGCCAGCCAGGTAGATTCCCACATGGTGTGGCAGACCTCTCCTGTCTTGCCCACTGCTCCCTTCAGCAGTGTATTTCATCAGTCTGCCTGTTCTGCTCCCCGCTCTGTCTCTGGTGAATCCTCTTACACCTCGGGCCCCCACACCTCTGGCATGTACCCCAGCTCTTGTATGCAGACATAAATAAATCTTTAAAAAAGATTATCACAGAAATAGCCTGAACAAATAGCCTGGTCAAAATAGTACCTTTAATAAATCTCATCAGTCTTCAACTACCATGATTAACATGTTTCTGGCATTTACCAAACAGAAGTGGGCAAATACCTCAGAATACACATTTATCAAAAAATGAACAGGAGAAGTAATTCCAGAATTTATAGAAAAATAGATTTCGAATAGTGAACAAATATTCATAATTCATTTCCAGGGCTTAATGAACTGATGACAATAAATATACCATTTATGTCTTTTTTGATATGCTGTTGTTGGTTAATATTTGCCTTTATCCAGATTTCAGTGAAGCTTGTTAAAGCCTCCATGACCTGCAGCAACTTGGTGTGACGACTGTGTGAACAGCCATGGAACACTCACTTTCCTTCCCTGCTGATTCACTCCCAAATTTGGGGACACTTTCTCTCATATTTCTTGGGACACAATCAGTAAGAATGGATGTTTTCTTAATAGGATGCAAGTCATGACATAAACACAGCACTATGCCTTGCTGCAATGTTCTATTTGAAAACAATGAGCATAAACCTGGGTATGAACAGACAGCTTGAAGGAACTACACTGAGTTAATAGAGTCAATAATGAAAATTTATCCTCATAAGTTACTGACAAGTATCCAGAAGGCCCACCCAACTGGGGAAGGCGGGTCACTTGCTACAAGTCCAGCACACCCAGGAGCAAAATCCTCTCACAACCACTCTTGTTCAGATTCCAAGTAGGACAAGTCCCCAGGGCTCCACTATGAACTATTACCATGCTGCGCCCTTCCCTCACCCCCTCCACCATCACTAACTAGTTGCTCTGTAACCACGACTCAGTACTGGCTCCTCCCCAAGTACAGGAACCACATCAGGCCTGTTCTCTGTGGGGACCCAGGGCCGAGCCCAGGGCTGACCCAAGAGGAATGTTCCAGGAGCTTCCTCATGACAATGAACATCAATGGACAGAAACACGCCTGATACGCTGGACCCCAGAGATCAGAGCCAGTGCGTGAGGTGCCTGGTCTCTGGCACCACTAATTCATGTGCTCAGGTGTCCACTGTCCTCCCCAGATTGGGGCCTGACCTTGCAGGACATTGAGGGTATGAGCTCTGGTGTGCACAGAGCTGAGTGTGAGCTCCTTGAGCTGCAGCAGTTGATCACCCCCTACACAACAATCAGAGTTGACAATATTACTCAATACAGACCCTCAAAGAAGGACAAGTCAAGTTCTGTGTCCTTGATCCCAACCCCACGTATACCACTTCATGAGGGCTGAGCCATCTCAACTGCAAAATAGCTACAATAAGTGTTCACAGCCCCAAGCATCTGGCTCTGTCCACAACACCCACCCGGGGGTCTCTGTGCATCTCCCTCTCTTGCACTAAACTGGGGAAGGCAGGGTGACCTCAGGTAAGTCGAATGTCACAAAACAGAGGCCCAGGACAGTCAGGAGGAACGTGGACACCGCTGGTGCCACAGCTGATCAAGTAGAACTGAAGTGACGAAGCTCTGCCTGAGTCCTGACCTGGGGACCATGTCCCCACTCCAAACATGTGCCTCCAGCCTCGCCTCCCAGGATACACACAATTCACCTTCACCTACAGGAGCTGCTGTTTTGTCTGATCACCACCACCCCAAGAGTCTGTCCCTGAGCTGTGTCCAGGCCAGAGCCCCATGGACATGGAGGAGGGTCCCTTGAGCAGCCCTCAATCCCTGAATAGTGTCTTTTTACACCCTCAAATATTTGGAGTTTGTTCAGGCTGAGAACAGACGCCACATGCCAGAGCAGTTGAGACCTTGAGAAAGTTCCCAGATTTTGATGCATTTGTGTGTCACAAATGGAAGTTTCCCTCTGATCTGAGGAACTTGAGTCTCTCTGTGGGGGTTCAGGTGGGGACACTGCAAGGATTCCCATGGCTGGGATGTCTCCTCTCTGGGACTCTGTCCCAATGCATTGGGGGAAAGTATGCTCCAAGGTCAATAGGATCAACATCACCTAATTGTGTGAGGTGTACTTTTGGGTCCAGCCCACACAAGCCCAGGCAAGGATATTAATTTAACAGGATGTGAAGATCCTCCCAATGCACAGTAAGGGGGGAAGGTCCCCAGCCTCACACAGGAGGTCACATCTGTCTGTTAATCCCATTATTTGGACAGCTCTGAAGCAGATGTTTAAGGTGTCAGAGGACATTAATTTTTAGAATTTCCAGAGCTGATTCTGATGGGGGAGAAAGAATGACATCACAGTGCTGAGGTGACCCCCAGGCTAAGGGAAAGAATGATGGAGGAGAGAATCCAGACCCAGAGATAGAGAGAGAGAGAAAGTGTGTGTGTGTGTGTGTGTGTGTGTGTGTAGAGTAAGGATCACAGCTGTAGAAGGCAGAAACTCAGCAGCCCTGGGACCTCACTGTAGACAGAAAGGGAAGAAAGGGCACAAGGGAGGCAGGATGGGGGGAGGGAAGCGGGTGGACCCTGGTTAAAGACCCCACCCCTGGACTATGTAACCCTAAAACCCTGTGCCCAGGAGGAGGATCAGCACAGAGGAGAAAGCACCTCCACCGCCTAGGCCACCCAGGAGGAGCTGTGCCCGTGTGCATTTCTGCAGAAGGAACTCTTTTCTCAGGGAGCAGGAAGCACTCTCCATGGAGGCCCATTCAGACCAGAAATACAGAGGGCGTGTGCCCTGGCAGGGCCTCCTGCTGGCAGGTAAGAGTGCAAGTACTGGAGGTGGGTGGGATGGGAACAGACACCCATTGGGATGGGCCATCTTCTGGGGAGACAAGAACACAGGACAGATGGCTTCCTTTTCCCAAGGGACAGGACATGGGATAGGATGGGGTTTGGGGCTCAGCAACATGATGTGAGGTGATGAGGGTGAGAAATCCAGAATAGGGCACATGGCCCATGTGATTGATCATGTTATTGAGGAAATGTTTCAAAGACTGAAGTCAACAATTTATTTCAGGAATACATTTCAGAAAAGATGTATCAGAGCACTGAACATTGACTACACTCAATACCCTCAGCACTTGATAATTAATGGTCAGAAGGAGGAGGCCCTGGGGAAACTGATTCATTCATCCACAGGGATTTGCAACAGGTCCTTCCCCTGGGGGACAACAAGATAGGACAAGTCCCTGACCTCAGAGAGCTCAGGGTCCATTTGGAGGAAGACAGACAATAGGATCTAGGTGTGCTGTCAGATGCTGACAAGTGTCCTGAAGGGCACAGAGCTGGGAAAGGTCACACAGTGAGGTCAGAGTGCCTCAGAGCAGGGGGTCAGGGACGCATCTCCCAAGGATGCCCTGAGGGTGAGCAGGGTCTGAGGGCAGGGAGGTGCTGAACCAGGCATACAACTGGAGAAGAGCATTTGGAAGTGAGGACAAAATTGTTCAGAGTTTCTAAAAGCTGTTCATACTGCTGAATATGAACAAATAAGATACACATGACACACCACAGGAGAGGATGTAGGAATGTGCCTTTCCATTCCAATAGATGGGTGCATATATTGACCGATTTCTCTCGCTTCTCTCCTAGTCTCACTCTACATCTTCTGGGTCCCTTCCACCGATGGCAGATTCATTTTTGAATCCAAGCAAATCCATGGTACCAAAAATACTCATGTGATAATCAGGATTCAAAATCAACAAAGGAATGTTACACGCTACAACTGGTTTAAAGGTGACAGTAGAAATGTGAATAATCAAATTGCATCATACATAGTAAAGTGGAGAAAAATGATCCCAGGGCAAGCCTACAACCCTCGACAGACAATATCCCCGGATGGTGCACTGAAGATCAAGAACGTCACCAAGGAGGACTCAGGATATTACACCATACAGACCATACTCACTAAATATAAAAAGGGCAAAGCATCTACCCATCTCTTCTTCTTAGGTAAGTGATTCCTCTCTTCCTCTAGGTGTGGGCCGTGAATCTACTGCACACACAAGGACCACAGGCCTGGGCAGTGCCCACATACCCCTCTGCAATTTGTCCTGTGTTGGGGTTTGAACATTTAGACCCACACATACAGGGAGACAAATTGGAGAATCAGGTACCTTTCTGGAATCTAGACCCTGCAGACACTCTGAGTAGAGGGAAGGACACATCTAGGGGAGTGCCTCAACAGAGGGAGATCATAGGACGTAATACCACTAATTGTCTTACTAATGTACAGATATCACATCCATTCAAAAAGAAAGGAATTTACCTTCTCAATCCCCACACTCCACCTGCAAACAGCCAGGACCACATGGAACAAAGCTCAGATGCTCTTAGCTACAGGAGAGAGGACGGAATAGAGAATGAGGAATGATGGATTCTCCTCCTCTCAGAGACAGGCCTGGGGGCAGAGTCCTGAGAGGCTCTGGCCTCTGTGTTCTGCCTCCCCTGGGCTGGGACCGTGTCCTTCTTTTGACCTCCTGCCCCACGGTGCAGGGCTGATGGGTGGTGGGGGTGTCAGGCTGCTCTGGCCCTGCTCTGGGGCAGTCCCAGGGTTTTGCGAGTTTGGGGTCACTTGTAACCTGCTTGCTCAACACCAGGGACCTGTCTTCTCTCTCTGCTCTTCCCTTTCCCGCCCTTCATCTCCCCTCCCTCAGGCAGTGCCGCCTCTGCTCTGCACAGCTTCCTGTTGTAGGCCTCAGACACTCCCCTCATACTGAGGCCAGGTCCAAACTGTTGGGCCAAAGACAGGCTCCGGCACCCGAGGAAAAGAGCCCTGTTCTCTCTCCATCACAGACCACGGGGATTCAGGGGAACATCCTTGCTCTCCTCTGACACATCTTTCCTTTGTGAGGCCAGTGTGGGCACAGGGCCACAGTGGGGTGCACAGACCCCTAGATCTACTCTCTACATGACTCTCCCAGGAGTGAGGACCAAGGATGGATCTGCAAGCCCCAAACCCCACTGCATCCCCTCCCCCTTCACTCCTGCCTCCTTTCTGCCAGGGCTTGAAGCTCCATTCTCCCCAGTGACCCTGAGACCTCTCCATGGTGGGGTTGCTTCCCTTGCCCTATCCTCTCTGACATCTGTATTTCACACTGGCTGCACCTCATGAGGACAACTTCATGTGGGTGCTCTAGATGCTGACCTCCCCCAGCCACTGTCCTTTCCCTCAAATGCTGCCCAATGGCAGGACTTGATCAAATCTAGTCGTGATTCCAAAGACAAAAGGCTAGAAGAAATCCCGTCACAGGCCGGGTGGGGTCTCCTCCCCATTCCTGACTGTCCACAGAGCTGCTGACAGGGACTCCGCTCTAAATGTACTAACTAGCACACTTAGTTTGAATGCATTTCATTCTTTTACAACAGACACCACTCACTCCCCCACATCCATTCTGTCCTCTTAACAGAGTGACATGTCTCTTTACCCAGGGAGTCCCTGACTTCATACCTACATTAGTTCTATTGACATAATGGATCCTAATAGGAATAAGATATTTCTTTCACGATAATATTTAATCCACAGACCTGGAAGTTAAAGTCCTTTTCAAAATGAGCAATCTTTCAAATTGATCCCTTTTCAGGGATCTAAGGTCACTGGTTATTTTGGGTCATTTTACTGAGTAGGGAATCATTGAACAAAACCTAGATGTCTTCCTCATTATAAAAATATCATTTGGTCAATGAGGAAGGTGATAATCTTAACATCCTCCATATTCCGTGGAGTCTAAATTTTGGGGTTTGAGGCTCACTGTATAAGTTACATGTGTTCTAGGCCAGGTGACATGAAAATGCATGGAAATAAATTTACCCTTCAAAAGCCAATGGAACATGAGAAGAGTTTCCTGGCACTGATAACGCAAGATGTTTACAGAGACTGACTAGGTGTCTTCCTGCACAAATTTGGGGCTAGCATGGTGGATGTGGGGGTGCATACTGCAGCTTTCTCCTTATAGTCGCCTAAACAAATTCACTCTGCTGTTCCAGTGGTCACAGGCAGCATGTGGAATCATGACAGGCTCTTTGTGACCTGTGAGTGGTAATCCCTAAGGAGGAAGGGTGGTCCAAATCCCACGCCCCATCTCAGTTTGTCACCTGCTCTATTTCTCCACAGACCCACTGACATCCATCGCTGTCCAAGAACGCCAAACAAAAGTCCGTGCATATGACACTGTGGCCATAATATGTCTGAGAAGTCAACAGGGTGACACTATGCACTGGCTTATCAATGACCAGAAACTGAGACTCAAAGACAACATGGTGCTATCCCAGGATCAGACTTTACTCACCATAAAGTCCATCAAGAGGGAGAATGCTGGGCAGTATCACTGCATGTACTTGAACACATCAAGGAGCAGAACAAGCGAACGCCTCATACTTGAAGTGGTCTAGTATGACCATTTTCCCCCCATAGGAGTCATTAAATCCTAAATCAAAATTTTCTGATCTGAAAAGCAGTTTCTTGAGCTCTTATGAAAACTCAGTGAAGATATGGAAAGTCCTAGAAGATTTGTATTGAATAATAAAGCACAAACATGCAAACTGATCTTGTCCTTGTGGAATGAATGTCACAGGCCAGCAGAGGGCACCTCCCCTGGTCTCCGTTGTGCCATCCCAGAAGGAAGTGGACACCTTGTCCCTCAGAGAACAGGCGCAAGTTATGTCACAATAGTGGGGGCACATGAGAAGCTGTCACATCATAGCTCTCTCTCTCCTCCAGGGATGTGGGGGATGTCCTCACCTATTCCTGATGAGGACCCCAGAAATAGATAGACCAGGGCCATATGCATGAAAACACAACAGACATGCACTTTACAAAATGCTGTCTACTGATGCTTCTGGTCAGATATGGAATCTATGAGATCCCATGGGAGAAGTGTATGGAGAATACAGGTTTTAGACTGAAACCCTGGGAAAAAGTACACCTATTGAAAAAAAGGAGACGTTCTAGATAAATTCCAGTCACATCTAGAAACTATCCCTCCTTACATGCCTCCATGGCATCTTGCTAAAGGCCATGATACAATCAGGGACATGAGCCTTCTGCAGGGTAAGGACCTCTTGGGCTTACTGCACCACAGTATGGCACATGCAGGGCCAGATGTCCCTCGACATGGGAATCACCATCCCTTAGCTCGGTCCCAGTGCACACAGAGATGCACTGAATATCCTGGGACATCCTCATCTTCCATGGCTGGGCCGGCAACTGCAGCTTCACCTTCCTGTGCCAGCAACACCCTTTTCCTGATATTCCATGGAACTGTCTTCACCATCCAAGACACAAGGATTCCTGGACACTCAGAAATTCCTGAGATTGTGCTAGTGGTTGAACATGTAGGGTTTGCTTTCATTCCTTTCCTAAATTTTCACAAAGACCTGGACACATTCCTAAAGCATACCTGCACAGGCCTGCTGACTTTACCTACTCTGAGCCTCAATTTGGAAGAAGGTTCTCCTAAGCCCTTTCTCACCCTAGCGGATAGGTGGATACAGGTGGACAAAGAAAGAACAATTTCAGGGGCTCCCTTGTGAAAAACAACAGTCAGTGCCTTTTGGTGAAACTTATAAAGATATTGTATCTCATCCTCTGAATCCCTCTCTGCATTATGTAAGTTTTTTGTGGTGTCTCTTGTTCCATTTCTATGTGATTTGAAATGCTTTCCATTCAGAAACAGAGTAAATATGAGACCTTTTCTTCTTTGAATAATAAATAAAATTCACAACTCAGTGTGACACACAATCATCATACATTACACACTCAGACTTATTCATCATGTAACTGAACGTTTAGTCTTTTACCAACCTGTCCCCATCTCATGAGCTTCCCACATGACAGCTAAGAGGTCAGTACCCAATTTACACTAGGAACTAATAAATCACTTTATAACATCATATACGTGTCAGGGGCACAGTAATACACTGGGGAGCTTGAGGACAAATTCCCATCACCAGCAAAAGTCTAACTTGCATCCACAACCCATAGGGACCCCTTTACCTTTTCCACCCAGCCTCCTGCCCTTCAGGAAACATCCAATCTGCTCTGGGATGAAATTTGTTATTCTTGTTCATTTGATTTCTATTCTCCTCAACAACGAAAATTTTATGGTATTTGCCTTATTTGTTCTGACACATTTCACTTAGCATAACTCCCTCTGGTCCACCCTGGTGTCCCAAATACAACATTCTTTGTAAATCCTATCAACAGGGATGACCAACTTGGCAGGTGGAGGCAGGCTCTATGGCCTGCCCTCAGGAATATTTTCTATCTTTATTCTTTTGACTATGTGTAGGACTTGTTCTGGATCTTTGAGCGAGATAATCTCTTGCCTCCTTTTGGTGAAACCCACTTGGGTCCTTGGAATTGTTTTTCCTGCCATAAAGTGTTTCTGTTCACTTTATGTTTTGTTTTAACTGAAACTAGATATTTACATTCAAAGAACACTTAAGTAATAACTGGATGGTACAAATCCCGTCCAAATTGAAAAGTAACATTCATAGGATCAGCATCACCTGAGAATGTGTGAAATGAACTCTTGGGAACAACATTCGCCTGCCCAGTTCAATTTTGCTTCTTCTTTTTTTTTTTTTTAAAGATTTATTTATTTATGCATACAAGAGCTGGGGTATAGGCCAGAGTTGCGGGGGGTGAAAGGATTCACCAGAGACAGAATGGGGAACAGAACAGGCAGACTGACCAAAGCACACCACTGAGGGGAGCAGCGAGCAAGTCAGGAGTGTTCTGCTGCACCATGTGGGTTGCTCTCTGACTGGCCAGGGATAGAACTCGTGCTGCAGAGGCTGCGGATTGCTTCATAGTGCGGTGCCCAACCCCCTGCGCCACCAGGGAGGCCCCCAATTTTGCTTCTTAACAGGTTCTGCAGATCTTCCTTTTGCACCACAGAGAGCCCCCCCCCCCACAAGTCTCATACATGGGGCACATCTGTCTAAGCATTCTCATTGTGGGGGCAGCTCTGAAGTTGCATTTCTAGGTGTCAGCTGGGCATTAAACTCAGAGAGCTGCACAGGTAATTCAGATGTTGGGGGGAGGGTGACATCCTGAGATCACAGTACTGATGTGAACCCTGGGCTCCTGCTTGAGGGAGAACAAGATGGAGAAGAGAATCCAGGCCCAGAGCTGTGGGAATGCCCAGTATTGACTGTGTTGTGGATGAGTTTATATGTCTAGTTCAGGGATCACAGAGGAGGTGGGAGGGAGCCAGGAGCCAGAATGAACACAAGAGGAGGAAGAGTGAACAAGGGAGGCAGGATTATAGGATGGCAGGGGAGGGTCTTGGAAAAGACCCCACCCTGAACTGCTTGACCCTTTTAAGCCCTCCTGTCCCAGCAGGAGGTTCAGCAAAGAGGAGGAAGCACCTAGGAGCAGTTGTGCTTGGGAGCCTTTCTGTAGCCCCAGCTCTTCTCTCATAAGGAGCACAGAACAGGCGACAGACTCCATGGAGGCCCCCTCAGCCCATGGACATGGAGGGCAGGTCCTCTGGAACTTTTTCATGCTGGCAGGTGAGTGGGACAGCTGTTAGAGATGGCAGAACAGAGATTAGCTGTGTGCTGGGGCAGAATGGGTTCTGAGAAGGCACTGATGTCTTCCTTTTTCAACTGACGGGGGAGACCAAGCACAGGACGGGGGCAAGGGGTCAGCAACATGATGTGAGGTGGTGAGGGTGAGAAAAATCCAAAATAGTGGACATGTCCAAGTTATCCATCACTGAGGAAATATTTCAAAGACTGAGTCAACAATAATTTATATCAGGACTACACTCCAGAAAAGAAGTACTAAGGCACTAAACATTGTCCCTTCTCAACACCCACAGAACTTGATAATTACTAGAACAAGGAAGCCCCGGGAACACTCACTTATTCACCCACAAGGATTGGCAACTGACCAACTACTGGGGTTGACAACAAAATCACAAGTCCCTGCCCTCGGGAATCTCACATTTTGGGGGAGGAAGAAAGGAAACAAAGATTTAGAATGTGCTGTCAGGTGCTGACAAGTGTCCTGAAGGGCACAGAGCAAGGAAAGGTTAAACAATGAGGACAGAGGGTCTTCAGAGCAGGGGGTCAGGGAGGCATCTCTCAAGGATGCCCTGAGGGAGAACAGGGGTCTGAGGGGAGGGAGGGATGAGGAAGACAAACAGCTGGGGAGAGTGTTCAGAGGAAGAACAAGATCAGAGGGGCTGGAATGATGTTCTTCATGCTGTTGACTTTGAGTATGTAGGATACACACGCACGCACGCACACACACACACACACACACACACACACACAAATCAAATGGAGGACTTAGGAATGTACCTGTCCATGCCAATACATAGGTGCAAATATTGACCGATTTCTCTCACTTCCCTTCTAGTCTTACTCTCAATCTTCTGGATCCCACCCTGCAGTGGTGGTGTCGTGTTTCAATACCCACCACCCAGCATTACTATCCATATTACAAATACAAGCAACGATAATGAACGTTTTATCTGGATCAAAGGGGATATCATGAATGTGAATAATCGTATTGCAACATATATAGTAAACACAGGAGTACAGATACCAGGCCCTAGATATGATGGTCGACAGATTATAAAATCGCATGGTTCACTGGAAATCACGAATGTCAGCAAGGAGGACACAGGTTATTACACCTTTCTGGCCTGACAGACAAATTCTCAAGCAGAAACTGCAGCTACACATGTCTTCGTTCTAGGTAAGTGGTCCCTCCTGGCCTCGGGGTGCGGGCAGTATATCTACTGCACACACAGGGACAGACAGGCCTGGACCTGCCACCATCCCCCTCTGCTTATGTCCTGAATGGGGCTTTGGCATTTAGTGCAGACACACACAGGGAGACGAACTGGAGAAATCAGACTCCTCTCCTGGGGTCCAGACCCTGCAAACACTCCCTGCACGGGAAGGACACATCTAGGGGAGTCACTCAGCAGAGGGTCATCAGGGTCAGGGTGGCCCCCTGGAGCCCTCCATAAGGCCTTGACCCTAGAGAAACCCAGAGGGTTCAGTCAGGGCCTGACTGAGGGAAGACTGACATGAAAAATCCATGAGAGATATGTGTACCCTTGACAAGGCTTCTAGACATATGAGAAGAGTGTCCTGGTGCTGATACTACCAAAATATCAAAGGGAGACTTGCTAGAGGTCTCCCTGCACTAAGTTGGAGACAGCATTGTGGGTGTGGGGGTGTGTATTGCAGCCTTCTCCTCATCTTTCTCCTTAACAAAGTCACTCCACCTGGTGCACAGGGTCAGTCATCACATGGCCAATTTACAGACTCACTGTGACCTGTGAGTCTGATCCCTAAGGAAGGAGGGTGGCCCACATACCAAGTATCTCTATTTGCCAACTCTTCTGTTTCTCCACAGATACAGTGCCATTAACATCTGTCCATGAAAGCAAGTACACAGTTAAAGAATATGAAAAAATAATGATGGTATGCATGCCAAGTGATCCTGCTTACAGTGTCTACTGGTTTTTCAACAACCGGAGACTATATTTCAATGACAGGATAAAACACTACCAGCAAAAAAGGGTTCTCAGCATTATACCCATAAAGAGGGAGGATGCTGGAAAATATCACTGCAAATATGTCAAAAGATTAAGCACCCAAAAAACTGAAGATGTCATTCTTGAAGTGGTCTAGAATGACCCTTCTTCCCACATATGATTCACTAAGTTCTAAATCAAAATTTTCTTACCCGAAAAGCAGTTTTCTGAGCTCTTATGAAAATTCAGTGTTGGGGATGGAATGTCCTAGAAGACTTGTATTGAGTCAATAAAGCACAAACATGCAAGCTGACCTTGTCCTTGTACAGTGAACATCACAGGCCAGCAGAGGGCGCCTCCTCTGGTCTCAGTTGTGCCATCTCCACAGGTGAGGGGACACCTTGTCCCTCAGAGGACAGGAGCAGGTCATGTCACAATGGTGAGGGCACATGAGAAGTTGTCAGCATCACAGCTCCTCCTCCTCCCGGGAATGGGTGGTGTCTGGACACTGATGAGGACCCCAGGAATAGATAGTCCCTGTGTGCATGAAAACACGACAGACATGCACTTTATAAGATGCTGTCTGCTGATGCTCTTGGTCAGGTAGGGGAGGAAGAGGGTTTGGAGAATCCAGGTTTCTGGCTGAAACTCTGGGGCAAGGTGCACCCCTTAAGGGAAGCTTGGATAAGTTCCAGCCGTATCTACAGAGACCAGCCCCCTTTATCGCATCTGCAAGCATTTTGCAAATGCTTGCAAAATTAAACATTTGCTATGTTTTAATCAGAGACTGAGTGTCTATAGGGCCTTGGACCTCCTTGTCTGCTCTCCAATAGTAGCATAGCACAGGCAGGACCAGATGTCCCTCCACACGAGAATCACCTTCACCCCAGAATAATGCACTCAGTCCCAGTGCTCATGGGGGTTATATCTCACTCTGTTGGGACCCCCCACACACTTTCCATTCTGAGTCAGCACCTGCAGCTTCACTTTCTTGGGCCAGCAACCCCTTAATACTAAAGCTTCAACAAACTGTCTTTACATCCAAAATACAAGGATTCCTGGCCACTCAGAAATCCCTGAAAATGGGGCCTCCCTGGTGGCGCAAGGGGTTGAGACGCAACCTGTGATCCCTGGCCAGCCAGGGAGCAACCCACAGCAGACCTCTCCTGACTCGCCTGCTGCTCCCCTCGGCAGTGTATTTCAGTCAATCTGAGTCAATCTGCCTGTTCTGTTCCCCACTTTGTCTCTGGTGAATCCTCTCACCCCCCACACCTCTGGTATGTATCCCAGCTCTTGTATGCATAAATAATCTTTTTTTAAAAAAAATCAATAAAAAATATCATTCACAAATTGTTTTAAAAAATACATTACCATTATGAATGACTTTGCCTCGTGAAGTTTTTATTACTAGTATTAAGAGAGAGTAGGGGGCCTCCCCCATAGCGCAGCGGTTGAGCGCTGGGTTGCGAAGCTGCCGGCAGCCTCTGCAGCGCCGGTTTGATCCCCAGCCACCAGGCGAGGGTCCCACATGGCGCGCAGACCTCTCCTGCCGCCCGCTGTTCCCCTCAGGAGTGTATCGTCAGTCTGCCGGCTCTGCTCTCCACTCTGGCTCTGGTGAATTCTCTCACCCTCCCGCGCTTCTGACTGTACCCAGTGCTTGTATAAATAAATAAATAAATCTTTAAAAAAAAATTTTTTTTAAAGAGGCACGTATTTTATTCATTTATTTGTTTGTTTGTTTGTTTGTTTTTGTTTATACATGCACTGGGTACAGTCAGAAGGCGGAAGGGTGAGAGAATTCACCAGAGCCAGAGGGGAGAGCAGAGCAGGCAGACTGACGAAGTACACTGCTGAGGGGAGCAGCGGGCGGCAGGAGAGGTCTGCGCACCATGTGGGACCCTCCTCCGGTGGCCGGGGAGCAGCCGGGGATCGAACCGGTGCCACAGAGGCCGCGGGCAGCTTCGCAACCCAGCGCTCAACCGCTGCGCCACCGGGGAGGCCCTAAAAAATTTTTTTTTAATTAAAAAAAAAAAAATATATATATATAGGAAGAGAGCTTCTTAAGTGATGAAGGTGAGGCTAAACTTCCACAAGCACCCTAATTACTGGAGACTCCTCAAAGCCTCCCCTTCACCAGGAGTAAGGTACAGCTGTGTGTGTGATCCCCACCTGGTTTTCAAATCCCTGGGCCTCACCCTCCTACTGAGGGTCTCCCTAGGCTACATCCCTGGGCAGGGTCAGAGCCATAACTGGGATAAGTAAGCAGAAGTCCTGCTGATGGTCAGGGGGCCCTCAAGAGACCTGGGCTAAGGGCAACACAGTCACATGTAATGAACAGGAAGTTGATACCAACAGGTTGACTTGCACACAAGGGATGACTAGCAGCAGTGCCTGCATCCTCTCATTTGATACACTGCTGCCACCTCCTGGCAGAAGATAGTGCCTGCAGCCTCCAAACTGACCAGGAGGCAGGACTCCAGTTGCTAACTCAGCCCGGTGGGATTCCGAAGCCATAGAAAGATTTGAAGAATGAGGGCAGTCAACCAGAGCCACACAGATGTGACACGGAAGAAGGCTGATTCAAACTGGGGGGGTTCAGGTAAGTGGGAATAAGTGGGAGTCTGCAGGTGGGAGGTTGGCAAACAACAGAAGCCCTGAACTGGGAGGATCTCAGATGTTTGCAGGGGAAACGCTCTCACCATTGACTCCACTCAGCAGCTAAGCAGGCAGGCTGTGCGCCTCGGGTCTGCCCATCAATCTCACCACTCCCACCCCCAGGGACACAGCCTCTCCTCAACCCACAATCTCCTGTGCTCCCTCATTATGCAGCTCTACATGAACAGACTCTGGGTTTCACTCCCTGAACTTCAGAAAGGGAAGAGGTCAAGGTCCCCACAACACAGCATTCCACACAGTCAGCTACACCCTATGTCCTGGATGCTACAATGTTACCTGGCTCCTCTGATTCCTCCTCTGGCAAAACTTGGGTCAGGCCTGGAATATTCAGTGGGGATTCTCTCAGCCACAGAAAGCCCAGAGTATTGGAGGGGAATCAACTGGAAAAGAAAAGCAGACCCTCAAGGTCGAGTGCTTTCTCTTTCATTGTGAATTACAGGAGGTCTTTTCATGTTGTATGTTAATCCTTCATCAGTTCAATGATTTATACATGTTTATTTCCATTTCAGGATACGCCTTTTCACTCTTTTGATAGTGTCCTGTGGTGCACAGAGCTTTTTGGTGTAGCCCAATTTCTCTACTCCTCTCCTGCTGTCTGTTTTTGGTGTCCCTATCCATAAGATCATCATCCAATCCAGTGTCATGAAGGTTTTCCCTCTGTTTCTTCCATGAGTGTTACAGATGGAGGGCTAGCAGTTAGAGCTCTCATCCATTTTGCATTCAACTGTGCGCACATGGAAAATGAGAGGCCAGTTTCAATTCTCTGAGTGTGGATATCCAGTTCCCCAGCACAATTCATTGAAGAGATTGTCCTTGCTCAAGGATCTCCTTTCTATTCCACTTGATTCCATTCCTCATGGCTCTCTTTAGTCAGTATCACACCATTTTGATTACTCTACTTTTGTAGTGGTTTTAATAATAGAAAGTATGGCTTCTTGAACTCTGTTATTTCTAAAACTTTTTGGCTACTTGGGGTCCCTTCTACAAAACATCTCTTTGGGATGGTGGTAGGGACTGCGCAGATCTGTACATGTCTCCAGGTAGTATTGTTATTTTAAAAATATTCGGTTTCCAGTCCAAGAACATGGGGTGTCGTTCCATTGATTTGTGTCTTGTCTTTAATAACTTTCAGATCTTTATGGACTCCAGTTTTAAAAATTGTGCATCACTGCATAATTTATTTAAATAATTCATTTTGTCATTGGAATTTGTTTTAATTTCATTCTCAATTCATTCTTAGTGTGTAGAAGGAAAACAGGTATTTGATTAATTTTTTTTCCTCCTAGTTTTACTTGTCTTGCTTTATTTTTCTAGTTCCCCTTGACTTCCCTAGAAAAAAGGTGGTGTTATTTGAAATCTCCCCTTTTTTCTCACTACCTTCTTTATAAACAGAAAAATCATCCACTTCATACAACTCCTTGCAATGTTTTCCAGTTTACTAGATGAAATGCTATCCAAATCATGAATCATTTAGTAAAACCAATTGGGTATCAAAATTCCTTTGAATTAATTTTGGTTTTGTACAAGACACATCATCATCATAGCCTGAATTCCAAACAAGCAACTTTTCTAGTTGGAAACACTGAAATCTCCCAATCCCATGAATCTGCAAGCTATTTCTTAAGAACATTTCTAAACATGTTCAAGTATGTTGTAATTTCTCCACTAATCTACCAGGGAGGCCATATAAGGTAACTTTTGCTCTCCCATCTGATACAAAATATGAAATATTACTTCACCATGAATACTCTGATGGAGAGATATCCAATGGCTTATTTTATCTTCCTACTGTGTAAATGATTAACTTTGGTTGTAATTTCCAAGAAGTAAAATATTGTTACACATATATTCTTTTTTCCACTATCTTCTTCTTTACTCATTAGTGTGTCTAACTTTTTATAATTATTTTTGTTTTGTTTAATCATCCACTATGTAAACAGTCTGTGTAGGTCTTTATCATTCTGACTTGCTTTTGCTACATGTAATTCCCTCGGTCTGCTTGCATTTTGCTATAAAAGGCAATATTTTATCTTTCCAAATGACTGAATAGTATCGCATTGTGTGGATAGGCCACATCTTCTTAGTTCAATCCCTCTATCAATGAGAACAAGAGTATTTCCACACCATCCCTGTTGTAAACAGTGATGCAATAAACAGTGGACAGCAGATGGCCTTTGGAGGTGAGCTTCACCCTTTGGATATATGCCCAACTGTGAAATAATTGGGTCCTACAGTATTTGCATTTTAAGTATTCTAATGTAAATCCACATCATTTTCCAAAATGGCTGCACCAGCTTGCATTCCCAGCAACAGTGTACTGGAGGTCCCCCTTCTCTGCATCCTCCTGCTGAGGAGCCTTTGAGCTTTTGACATGCGCCATTCTCAAGGATGTGAAATGATTCTCACTGTGGTTCTGACAAACATCTCAAGTGATGCTGAACATTTTTCCATTTGTCAATTAGCTCTTCTTGGTAACCCTCTTTTGTTAGTTTTCTGTTCAGATATGCTACCCATTTTTATTTCAGTCGGCTTGCTTTTCTGTCATTAGTGAATATGTTTTTGATGTGTCTTGGATATTAGCAGGTTCTCTGTTGCTTAACCTGTAAATATTTGTTCCCACGATGTAAGATATCTTTTAATCTACTCTGTTTTCATTACTGTGTAAAGCTATTTAGTTTGAGGTAACCCAGATTGTTTATTTTTCTTTCACATCCCTTGCTATAGGGCTGAAGTCTCCACAGACTTCTTTTCATTGTTGTCATGAAACAAATCACCAGTATTTTCTTCTCCATTTTATCACTGCTGTTCCCATACCTAAGCCAATAATAAATTTTGAGTTGTATTTCAGCATGATGTTACAG